AAAGCTGAGTCTGCGCATCCCGGTAGAATGGGTCTGTGAAGACGTAATCTTGCGGATGAGAGAGCAGCAATCTGCACAATCTGTTTCAACAGACACATATTGTCGGAGCTTTTCCCTGGACACGAAAGGCGATGGTGGCTCGAGCAACATGTCTGTAGTCTTTACCCTCCACATACGACCCACCGTTTGGGTAGCTGCAGGCCCGACAGCCTCGCTCAGCACACGTGTAGCTGTGATGCCAACGGGTGCGGATACCGCTCCTGCCTTTGGGCATCTTGTCATAGTCGGCCTCCGTGGCGTTTGTCGCCACCGTGTCGATATCTTCCCAGGCCTGTGAGAGCTTGTGAGAGCAAAAGACCAAGCAACCTTCCCATCCAATGCATATGCGCTTCCATTGCGGGACTTGTCGCTATCTTGCTGAGAAAAATATAGCCGGGTGTGTCTTATTGCATCTGTTGCAAGTATCCCCTTTCGTGTAGAGCCTGCAGACTCTTGGCGGGGCTAAAATGGTTGCGGGCTGCTACACATTCGACGCAGTATAAGAGCGGCCGTAGATGACTCGATAGTCGAGCTTCCGAAAAGACGCATGCAGAAATTGTAATGAAGGTTTCTTGTCAGGACTACTTGCTAGTGCATCGTCTGGCCATTCGTGCAAGAAAACGATCTGACCTAGGTGATGATGGTGCTGAGAAGTGCAATCTTCATTGAGCGCGACGTATTAAGCGCCCGCCGTAGTGTTCTTGAGCTGAGCGCCAGATCACGTGGTCGCATGGGCCTGGACCTGGTGGGGGAAGCAGATGTAGTATTGTGCACAGACCAGTTTATCACGACCCTTCAGGGTCCCACTCCCCACTTGGTCCCATCGTTCACGTTTTACGCCCCTATTGAGGGCGCGCTCTAGTGGTGACGGCATCTTGCTTTCGGCAGACATCCGCGAACGATTTGCAACATCAACGCGATGGTCGACCATCACTCTTGAACAGATACTCTCGCCTCTCGCCGTATCATGCCGAATAGCGACCGGTAACACGATGCTTCATTTTGCGAATGGCCGCCTTCGAAGCGGTCCGCCAGCCAGTTATGTACGATTAGCAAAGCACTATGCGAGCTGTCGGCCGCAACAACGTATCGATGCGCGATGGCAATCTGCTGCTGCCTCCAAGCCCGGCTCTCCTGATACAGGACACAGTTTATCCAGTAAGTCATGCGTCATTTCGTGCAAAGCATCCTATTGACACCAAGGAAAAGTGTCATCGCAGGCGAGATACAACGAGATCGGCGTGCAGCAGCTGAGCTCCCACATCTACAGCCAGATCTTTCCCGATGGCAACACACCGCCGCCAAAACACCTAATCGAAATGTCCAAAGACCATCTGAGAAGGCATGAACTTCTTGGGAAAAATACCGACAACAGCGACCCGATAGCCTTTGACCTGCCGAGTCTTCAGGGGCGCACTTTGGATGAACACTTCCACAAACTAGGCCTCGACGCTGCCGAACCTTACCTGAGCTATGCGAAAGACTTTTCTCGCTTCAACTCACCACCCAAGCCGCGGAAATGGGTGCGACGGAGTGGCTGGACGAAATACTACCCCGATGGGAGGACGGAGGTCGTCAACGCGCCGGATGATGCTATGCTGTGCTTTGATACCGAAGTTCTGTGGAAAGAGAGTTCCTTTGCCGTCATGGCATGCGCATCGAGTCCGAATGCGTGGTATGCTTGGCTATCTCCATGGTTGCTCGGCGAGTCTACCAACGACCGCCACCTGATCCCACTTGGCGACCCGTCGAAAGAGCGCATAATCGTCGGACACAACATCGGATACGACCGCGCCAGGATATTAGAAGAATACGGATGCGACAGACGAGAAACGCATTCCTAGACACCATGTCATTACATGTGGCGGTCAACGGTATGTGCTCTCAGCAACGACCAACCTGGATGAAGCACAAGAAGAACAGGGAACTACGGGAACGCATCGCAACGCAAACCGATGATGCGCAACTGGCTGAGCTTTTAAGCAACAGCGCCATCCGCCAAGAAGAAGAGGAGCTCTGGGTTGAGCGAAGTTCCGTCAACTCGCTTAGGGATGTCGCCAAGTTCCACCTTGATGTAACGATCGACAAAGCGATCAGGGACGATTTCAGCACCCTCGACCGGGCAGGCGTCTTAGCAAAGTTGGATGAATTGTTGGATTACTGTGCGGCGGATGTTGCAATCACCCACCGAGTCTACCAGATTGTCTTCCCGAATTTCCTTGAAACTTGCCCTCACCCCGTCAGCTTCGCCGCTCTCCGACATCTTTCGTCAGTCATCCTACCTGTCAACGAGACTTGGAATGCGTACATAGCCAACGCCGAGGCAACGTATCATGAACTCAACGACGCGGTTCTCGAACGACTCGTGGCGTTGGCAGAAAAGGCTGTAGCGATCAGGGATCAGTCAGAGACGTGGAGTAACGACCCGTGGCTTAATCAACTCGATTGGTCTGGCCAGGAGATCAAGATGGTCAAGGGCAAGAAGAAGAACGAACCGCCACGACCCGCTGCACGACAGAAGAAGCCAGGAATGCCCCGATGGTATAAGGATCTCTTCGCCAAGAACGACGCTCCTATCGGCTTAACTGTCAGAACGCGGATCGCCCCCCTTCTCCTGAAGTTAGCCTGGGACGGACATCCTCTTTGTTGGTCCGACACGTATGGCTGGACCTTCCGTGTATCGCGAACTGAGGCGAGCAAGTATCTCAACAAGCAAATGACCCAGTGCGACATGGCAGATGAGAAGGTTGAGGCTCTTCGACAAGATACGGAGGGCGTGTACTTCAAGCTACCCCACAAGGATGGGCCTACTGCGAGATGTGCCAACCCCATGGCCAAGTCTTACTTGTCGTACTTTGAAAACGGTACTCTGTCATCAGAATACTCCTACGCCAAGGAAGCCTTGGAAATGAACGCTTCCTGTTCATACTGGATCAGCGCAAGAGATCGCATCAAGTCGCAGATGGTGGTTTATGAGGAAGATGTGGCCACTGAGAAACTGGAAGGCGGGATGGAGAACAAGAACACGCAAGGATTCATCTTGCCGCAGATCATCCCCATGGGGACCATCACAAGGAGAGCTGTCGAAAACACATGGCTGACGGCAAGCAATGCCAAAAGGAACCGTGTCGGGTCTGAGCTAAAGGCAATGGTCAAAGCTCCACCAGGTTACAGCTTTGTTGGAGCGGATGTGGATTCCCAGGAGCTGTGGATCGCGAGTCTTGTTGGTGATGCGACTTTCAAGCTGCACGGCGGCAACGCCATTGGTTTCATGACTCTGGAAGGAACCAAAGCGGCAGGCACGGATCTTCACTCTCGAACGGCTGGCATTTTGGGCATCACGCGAAACGATGCAAAGGTCTTTAACTATGGTCGAATCTATGGCGCTGGCCTGAAATTCGCGGCGCAACTGCTTCGGCAATTTGACCCAAACCTGTCGGAAAAGGAGACACTGGAGACTGCCTCGAAACTTTACGTCAATACCAAAGGCACCAAGACGAACCGTAAAGTCCTGTACAAGAGGCCATTCTGGCGTGGCGGAACGGAGTCCTTCGTCTTCAACAAGCTGGAAGAATTCGCCGAACAGGAGCGCCCGCGAACCCCAGTACTGGGCGCTGGTATTACCGAAGCTCTCATGGGCCGGTTCATCAACAAGGGTGGATATCTCACCTCTCGCATTAATTGGGCTATCCAATCATCTGGTGTCGACTATCTGCACTTGCTCATCGTCAGTATGGGAAT